ATTTTTGGTGGCGTGGGATGAAAAAGGAAGCGGCTGAACATGTTTTCACATGTCTGGTATGTCAGAAAGTTAAGGCAGAACATCAAGCTCCTGTGGGAAAACTGCAACCACTTCCAATTCCAGAATGGAAGTGGGAAAGAATCACAATGGATTTTGTATATGGTCTCCCATCATCAAGGGGAAAGGATGCAGTATGGGTTATTGTGGACCGACTTACCAAATCGGCTCACTTTTTACCCATCAGATGGAAATCATCACTGGAGACTTTGTCTCAACTATATATTAAGGAGATCATCAGATTGCATGGTGTGCCAATTTCTATTGTCTCTGATCGAGACCCAAGTTTCACATCTCGGTTTTGGCAAAGTTGACATGATGCCTTGGGAACTAAACTGCATTTTACTTCAGCTTATCATCCTCAAACAGATGGGCAGAGTGAACGAACTATCCTAACTTTGGAGGAATTACTTCGATCATGTGTAATGCAATGGGAGGAATCATGGATTGACCATTTGCCCCTGATTGAGTTTGCTTACAACAATCAGTACCATAGTAGTTTGGGTGTTCCACCATATGAAGCACTTTATGGGAGAAAATGTAGAACACCATTATGTTGGGATGTAGAAGGAGCAAGGCAAATCTCAGGGCCAGAGATAGTTCATATCACAGTTTATAAGGTCAAGGGAATCAGGGAGCGTTTGAGGGTGGCTCAAGATCGACAGAAAGTTTATGTGGACACGAGTAGGCGTGAAGTTAATTTCGAAGTGGGTGAGAAAATATTTCTCAAAGTTTCACCCTGGAAAGGCGTAATGAGATTTGGTAAGAAAGGGAAACTTGCACCTCGATATATTGGACCTTATGAAATCATAGAGAAGATTGGACCAGTGGCATATAAACTGGCATTGCCTCCAGAACTATCTCAAATCCACAGTGTATTTCATGTTAGTATGCTGAAGAGATACAAAGTGGATCCTTCCCATGTTATACAAACAGAGGAGATCGAGTTGGGTCCAGATTTGACTTTTGAGGAGGTTCCAGTTGAGATTGTTGATTTTCATATTAACACACTTCGTAGGAAGGAAATTCAAATGTTAAAGGTTGTGTGGAGGAATCAAGAAAGTGAGAGTGCTACCTGGGAGACTGAAGCAAGTATGCGAGAGAAGTACCCTGAGTTGGTAGTGACATACTATGCAGGTTAACAATCTTGCTTAATAAGTTATGATTTGAACTTGCTGATGTGCTTTTGTTGTGATAGCCCAATATAGGTTTTTAAAACCTAAATATGGGAACTTGAGGTGTTATGTGTTTAGTTATGTAATTCAGATCTCCTGACCTAAAAGTTAGGTAGTAACAAGATTTGTGATAGTGTAGGTTAGGGGGGAACGAGCGGATATGTACTATAGACTCAAGGATAAATTTCAGGGACAAAATCTTTGAAGGAGGGGAGAACTATAACATCCCGTTCCGGCAAAACCCATATTTCAATCGCTAGAAAGTTCGCGATTTAAAATCGAGCATTTGGACACTAATTCGGCGAAAATCGAATTATCGATCGATCGGATAAGTATATATATTAGGAAGCTATCGGCATATAATGCACGCCCCATTATAATTCTCATCAACATCATCATTTTTCCTTTTCCTTTGCCGAGAGAAGCAAGCGAACAGAGCAGTTCAGGGAGGCACGAGGAAAAATTCCAAAGCTCCAATCTTGAGCCCTAGTGATCCAAAAATCCCGTAAGTAATGCCTAATTCATCTATACATCGTGATTTATCGATTTAGAGCTTTAAACAGAGTTTTTGGTTCAGGAATTTCTTGAATTCCCGATAAGCCAAATTAGGGTTTCGGAGTATCCGGAAGCCGGATTGAGCCCAAATTTCATGTGCATACTAGCTTCTGATGTAGTGTTAGATATCCACAGGTGTGGAAAGTTAATGATATGTGTAAATGTATGTGGTTGTGTAAGTTATGACGATTATGGCTTGTATCAGTATGGTATGCAGTTGTGTAGTATGAAACTGTGACTATGGCTATGAAAGTCCATGTATATGGTTGTGAGTATATATGTTTGTCTATGAATGCATGGATTTAGATGAATTATGTTGCAGGATTAGATGGAAGAACTGTTAGCCCATTATGCGAGTAATTCATGCCGAAATTTTATTTGGGTAAATTTTGTAAATTAATGTAACACCCGAGATTATTTCCGCTGCAATTGTATGAATAATATGATTAGGTAATACGTATAGGGTAGGGTGTTACAAAATGTTCCATGCCCAATTCTACCGTTCTGAGCCAGAAGTAACAATGGCAGACTTAGCACGAATGCGCCAGCAGCCAGCTGAAAAGTTAAAAGGGAAACGATACTGTAAATGGTACAACAGTGCATCTCATTAAACTAACATGTGTGTTGTGTTTCGCAACGTTGTGCAGGATGCAATTGAGAAAGGTCGGTTCAAGTTCCCAGGATCGAGGAAGGAGGCCATGATTGTTGACACTGACCCGTTCTCAAACATTGTCGGCGTCAACATGGTCAATCCCGATTTCTCTAAGATCAACCTGCCACGCTTCAAGCTAGTGGTGGATACAATGCCACCGCCGAGTGGTAATTCTCATGTGGCCTAGGGTGCTTCATCCTCCCAAGTGCAGGAGGGGCCACGCTTGGATCCAGCTGAGGAAGAGAAGCTGTGTGCCCAGTGTCGCGGAAAGCTAAACATTGGGGGAGCAAGACCGAGCCAGTCGGTCCACCAGAGATTGGGACCACGACAGTTCAAACTAAGGTACCCCTCGTATGAACGTATTGTCGAGGGAGTACGTGCACCTGCATGGGGAAGAGGGAATTGTAGGCAGTGGGTTGCTCAAAGTGCCCCACCTTTCAAAACTCTACCTTTTGGACTTGCCCAACCTGTAAGGGGTTCCCCACCTATCAAGAGAACCTTCAGGATGCCAAATGTGCCACAGGGTGGTTGACACACCTACGACGTCCGTCGTCAGCATCCCATCGCGGTTAACGGGATGACAAGGACGCAGTATCGAAGGTACCTCCGCAATAATGCTCAAGGAAGGAGGATTGCAAACTTGCAAGCGAATGTGAACGTGGACAACTCTGCCACGGGTCTGAGAGTGACTGTGGTTGGTGCTGGAAAAGTTGTCGAGGACAAGCTGGACGGGAACGATCAGGGAGTCCCGAGAGAGGCTAAGTACTATGCTGAGTTGGATGACTCCTTTATCGAATAGGAGATGATGGAATTGGAGGAGCCGAAGTCGAAATTTGATCGAAAAAACAAGGATGACGATGATGATAACCAAGGTGCACCCATGACGATCCAGTTCGGAAGTCTACCACCAGTGGTGGTGAACAACTACATCTTGCCTTTGATTTTCCACATTAATTTGGAAAATCAGGGAGAGGATGGCGAGGTCGTGATGGAGGTTGAAGAGCTGGACGAGGCTTCTCAAGAGGTCAACGTCGCTGAACGGGTGAGCCGTTTTGCCCAACTGACTTTAGAGAAGGAGAATGAGGAGCCAGCACCGGCAGAGCTAGTTGGCGAGTCTGCGGATCTTCCAATCGAGGCTGAGCCGTGGAGTCCGATGATGGCTCACACGAAGGACTAATTGATTTGGTAGTAGAGTCGGCCAAGCAAAACAAGAGTTCGCAGCAAATTCTTAAAGAACTGTACGAAGCAGGCCACAAGGCTGTTGGGCCACTAGGCGAAGATGGGGGAAGATATCCTTTTTACGTGTTGTACCAAGGCCCAAAAGAGTCAACAAGTGTGCCACTGGAGAGCATCACGCGGGGATCAGAGTTTGACGAGGTAGATAAGTCTACCCGGGCTGCAGAAGCGAAGGGGAAAGCTGTGGACGAAGGAACCACGGGTGAAGAATCAAACAAGGTAGTTGTTTTCAATGAGCAGGAGCCAAATATGTTGCGTCATTTGAGGCCTCTCTACATCAAGGCCACACTTGATGACGTAGCAATGTCTAGAGTCTTAGTTGACAATGGCGGCGCAGTAAATGTGATGCCAACAAGGATGATGAAGAAGTTGGGCAAGAATAGTAATGACTTGATCCCAACGAAAGTGTTGGTGACAAGCTTCAATGGTGGGTCCACTTCCGCCAGGGGAATCCTCCTAGTTGTCGCGGGAGTTGGATCACAGAAGCGGATGAGTTCTTTCTTCATGGTGGATGGAATGATAAGCTACAATGCACTACTTGGCCGGGATTGGATCCACACCAACAAGTGTGTTCCTTCATCGTTGCATCAGTGTTTGCTGCTCTGGAATGAAGACGTTGTCGTTGAGGTGGTATAGGATGACACAAAGCCGGTTGTTGTTGGGGCCAACGTGGCAGAAGCTTATTTGTACCATGGGGATTTTGAACCACTTGAGATCAGGAGCGGGGAAGGAGGAACGCCCAAGGTCATAGTGTCAAGTGCAAAGGTGTTGAGTAAGGCGTGCTTGGACCCACTGTCTGAGATTGTGAGACCAACGATGCTTATATTAGGTGGTCTACCAAAATCTGAGTAAGCCACCTCAAGAGAGGGTGGCGAAGGCCGAAATCACGGCCTTGCTAGAGGGTTTGCTGATCAACGGTGATGGTTTCAGTCACGAGGTGGACGAAGGATTTAGTGTTGTTTGCGATATGGTGGAAGAGATCAACCTTGGCGCGGAGAAGGATTCACGTCCAACAATACTAGTTTTTCAGGATCTGAAAGGTACGAGTTAATTGTGCTTCTAAATGGCTTCAAAGATTGGTTTACATGTGGTTATCATGAAATGTTATATGAGCATGTTGCAATCATTCTTCTTAGCCAATTTATCTATTTTTATTCTAGTTTGTCGAGTAAATGAAGGTCTTGAGAAACACATACGCTAATGGCATTGCACCAACAAGATCACTGTCGTTGGAGTGAAGTCGTGCTATGTGGTTTTTCTGTTGGCCAGAGTTGTCAAGTATGTCCAATCAGCTTACCCACAATGGCGAGGGAGATTGGGTTTGAATTTATTTTTAATGTTGATTTCTGAACTTGATATTCGAGGAAGAAGGAATGAGAGGCTAGATTTTTGGCCTAGTTCACGCGGTAAAGTGGTGCCGCTTTATTTTTCTTTTCGTCTCAACAACATTGTTGGGGGGCACAGTGCTGCTGAAGTAAAAAGAGTATTATACATGGCCAAAAAAATTATAAGGTAGAATTTCATTGGAGCTAACATCGTAGTTAAAAAAACAAGAAGATGAAAATAGCTACGTACATGCTCGGCGCTTCGCGGAATCATGCGGAGGAGGTACAATGAATTCCTCATCGTGTTCATTATCGTCAGCATCATCAACCTCGCACTGGGTTATGCGGCTGATGACGTTGGCAGTCGGATCGTTAAAATATTGGACTTCTTTATCCTTCCAGGCCAATTGAAACGACGATGTTACTGCGCCCTCTATTGCATTGAAGTGCTTAAAAGCGTTAGGAAGCAGGTAATCCTGACAGGATTTCACATTCGCAATACTCCTCTCCGAGAGCGCTGCGAGCCGCGTGTACAGCCGCAGATAGTTCTTTGAGAAGGCAAGAGGGATGGGCCATTGTTGCACAAGGCCAAACTGACGTGCGGCGAAGTGGGGATTATAGACTTCGAGGCTGAGAGCGGTCGAGGCTTCAGGGGCAAATAGCATGTCTCTCGCTACTAACCAGCGAGCCCATTCTTCCACGTACCAGTTATAGTCTTCGAGGGAAGTATCTTCTTGGAATGGTTTTTGGGTGAAAGCAAGCTTGAATGAGGGAGGGCCAAAAATCCGAGCTTCAAATGGGGTAAAGTTCTCGATGTCTCTGGCCTGGTAGAAATTGGGGAAGTATGTGGCGAAGTCTTTCTTCAGTGGGGCGGCTTTGGCATAGTAGTGGCCGTATGAAAAGATCGCAATGTCGTGGGCCATCTCGGTGGGAGCAGCCAACGAGCTTCAAACGGCGGGAAAGTAAGCATATAACCACAACTGCACTAGCCAAAGGGGACTTATGCCAGTGACCTTTTTAGCCTCGATGGCTTTTTTGATCTATTTAACCGTTAAGTACATACCCCGATAGAAGTGACACAACACCGTTTCAGCAAGGTTGTCGCATGTACCGGCAGCAATTTGATAGGTTGTCTCGATCGCTTGCACTGGTTGACTGCCACTGGGACAAAGAAAAAATTTATTCAGCTAGTAATGGATAAAGTAGGCCCGTTCCTCATCTGTGATCGGCGTCGCAGGGTCAGTTGGTGAATTGGTGTTGTAGAGAGAGCGGTAGGAGCAATCAAAAGGAATAGGGTTGTCGCGATTGAAAGGAATTCTGGCGATCGTGGGAGGTCGATGTTGGGAGAGGCCAGTTAATGCGAGGAGATCGAGCATAGTGATGGTCATGGTTCCCAAAGGAAATACGAAGCTGTTGGATTCAGTATACTAGAAACATATGGCAGCCTTGAATAAATCTGCATCCTGTAGAGGAGGATGGGCGCAGTGGGATAGGAAGCAATCTATGCCGGCATCTCTCCACTGAGAAGTAGTGGTCTCATCGGCAAGCAGGCGACAGTACCATCTCGCGAAGTCTTTTTCAGAGAGAGGCCATGAGGATAAAGTCTGTTTGGGGGGTAAATTACGGAGTAGGTGAGCAACGAAGGAGTAACCGAGCTTGAGCAGTGGGGTAAGTGTTCAGCTTGGCTATGGTTGCATCACCAAGGTCGCTTATGGCAGGACCGTGCAATCCCTCTCCCTTGTCGGTTAATGAAAGGGTGTCAAGCTCTATGGCCGAAGAGCTATCCAAATTCCTCCATCTACTCTCTAGATCATCAAGACTGCATACGTGGGCCACGAGGTCGGGCGGTGGTGGCCTGCCAAGAAAAGAATCAGGTATGTTTAGTCATTCTGAAGATCGGAAGGGTAACTCCCGGTCACCTGCCGAGGCAAGTAGCGGCATCATAGAAAGCGAAAGGGAGACAAATCAGCTTGTGTAAAACTACCAGGAGCAGGTACGTTATCTTTTATTCACAAGATTATGGTTGCAAAACAATACATGCCAAAAGTGAAACCAAACAATGAAGCAAGAACATAGATATGCAGGTCGTTACTCGCCCGCAAGTTTGCATGGGGCATATGTACTACCACTATCTATATTTAATGTTGCAGTTTAAATGGCGAGTAACGAGAAGGGAATAAGAAATTCAGTACCTCTTTTGAGGAGGTATGCGGCCGCCGGGAGCCATGTCGGTGTCTTGGTAAATTGTTGATGGGTGTATTTTGTATGCTAGAAGAAGAAGTTAGTGGTGGTTTGGCGAGTGTTGCCGCTGGTTGGCAAGGTTGGAGGTGAGTTATGGAGTTGTCGGTTCTGTTATTTATAGGATAATCGTGCCTTGATTAGAAGTACTAAACTTATGAGGAATAGGATTGCCTGGTACCCTTTTCATTGTGGGAGCCTCATCGTGCCTTGCAAACATGGCCGCATATTTTCAAGGCTGGCAACTCAAGTGCACGTGTGAATTGTTTGATAAAGGGTTGGTTTTTTTTCTTGTCCAGGAAAGAGAGAAACCAAAGCAATAATGCAGGTCCAATTCAATTGTACATAGTTAATATTAGGCCGTGTGGTTTTTGCCTATTGTGGTGGGTTTAAACCTAAATTGTCCTCTGCAACATTGGACAAGCAAAATACAAAAGAAAGGATTGAGTGTTGAGGTTTGGAACTCCTTGTGTTGGCCACAAATCCAATTTGGCCTAGTTGAATATACATTAATATTATATTCAAAGAAAATTTGTAAGGAAAAGTATATAGGGTTGTTTTGCTCACAAGTCACAGCCTTGCGGGGTGGGGACGAATCCATTGCGTTTTGGTAAAGTTTTCTGCAGTGTTGCGGGCAATAGTTGGTTGCGTGTTGTGTAATGAGTAAGAAACCAAAAAGCATCAAAGCGCTGCCGTTTGGTCAAAATCAGCATTGAGGGTTTCTGAGCGAGAAATAACGCGTCACTGGAATGGCCTTAACAACATTGCAGGTTAATACAACAATGTTGCGCATGAAAAATGGCCAAAAACGTCGCCGTTTAGCCACTGTACTGCTGTGATTAAAACAAGGCTATGTCGTTTCGGCTGCAGGCTTACACGACGTTGCGACAGTGAAAGCTGACAGGCAAAGTCGCGTATTGCAGGTTTGCCCTTTTTCTTCATTGCGAGCTCCCATGGGCACAAAACGTAACTTTGCCAAGCATGGTTGCTACTTATTTCAGGGCAACGTAGGTCCTTTGGAAAGTCCATTTAATCTTTTAACAATGTTGCAGAGCCGTGCATGGCACTGAAATCATCTTTGTGAGGATGGGCTTTAAATTGATTCAATATTTGATTTATTTTAGGCGAATTATATTGTTCTCAACAATTTGGTTCATAAGGCGAATTATATTGTTCTCAACAATTTGGTTCATAATTCTTATAAACCAAATTGTGGGGACATTTGTTGACACCTAAAATTAATTTGGTCAAAATTAAATGCCGCATTAATTAGTCTTGGCATTTAATTCGATACCGCGGGTAAAAAAAACGGTGTCGTTTGTCGAGCAGTGTCGCGGAGAGTTAAAACGATACTGCGAAACAGAAAAACGGTACCGCAAAGAAGCTCAGCGGTACCGTGGAAACGACACCACTTACCGAAAAACAAAAGAGGCTGCGCGTTTAGTGTGGGTGTTGGAGAAGGAGTTTTTCTAATTAATTATTATATTATTTTTATTCCTTGTTGGAAGGGGAGAAGCGGTACTGCATGGGGACAAGCAGCATCGCGGAGAGTTAAAATGGTACCGCGGATTTAAAAACTGAGCCTTGATAAGCGGTACCGATTAATTAAAAGCCATATCGGGTAAGTGACCAGAATCCACCCAACCCAATGCGAGTGCAAACTCGCGGGGGTTCCATGAATTGATATTTTTTTGCTATGTTAGCGGTGTCGTTTAATTAAAATCGGTACCATGGGTAAGCCCAACGGTACAGCTGTACTAGCAAACGACAGTGTTTAATAAAAAACAATGTCGCGAAAGGAAGAGTAAACGGAGCCGTTTTGGCACTAAAGATGTCGTTGGTTAACACATGAGTTGGACTAGTGACGGCCGGATTAATTAATTAAGTATTTTTAATGACTATTTAGGACGGTGTCGTTTAGTTGAAAATGATGCCGCAAGAGGAAAGAAATGACACCGTGGATTTAAAAACGATGCCGCGATTAGGCCAATCGATGCCGCAATAGTTAAAACGATAGTGTTAAATTTAAAACGGCATAGCGAAGTTCAACAGCATCGCAGAACTAGAAAACGATGTTGTTTAATTAAGAACGGCGCCACGAAGTGAGAGTTTGACGGCGTGTCAACAATGATGTCCGGTTTAATTAATTAATGTTTTAAGGATTATTTTAGACGGTGTCGTTTAGTTGAAAACGACATCGTGGGAGATATCAACACCGTCGCGGTACTGAAACGATGTTGTTTAAATAGAAACCAACGTCGCAGTGACGAGAGTTCAGCAATTGTGGATTCCGGCTCAGTGTCATTTTGGCCAAGTTTCTGCGTGTCCAAGCGGTTTCGCACTCGTGGGAGTTACTCAACAAGTAGGAAGTTACCTGCACGGTTGACAGGAATGAAGACGTGGGAGACAAAGGCGCGAAGGCAGTTACTACGACTGCGGGGAGAAGAGCGAAGTATAAAGATTGGGAAGAGAGAGAAGCAAGGGACAGCAAAATCAAATCACAAACTGCACCGTCGCATAATCTACCTTTTTCTCTCTAGTTTCGTAGAACCGCTCTGTCAAAGAACTCCTTTGCAGAGTCGTAGATCCTACCTTGTAGTCGTAGTCGCGGAGCTCTCCAGAGGAACCTCCATAGGAGTAGAGGTAACGTAACTTAGAACACTCCCGGTTTGGTTTCTCGTTTCTCGTTGAACACCCTCGTTCGAACGTAGTTTGGAGAGGTGGTGAACCGAGTAACGGTTTTCTTGGTTAGAAGTCAAAGGTGCATCGATCAAATCAATATCGCCGACACCGGCGATGGATATTTGACGGTCGTCTTGGTTTCTGTTTAATCGATCAAATCAACGGCGCCGACATTCGGCGGCGGATATTTGACGATTGTTTTGACTTTGTGTTTGTGTTTTCTTGAAAACAGTGCACATTGAACGCGCGAATTTCGCCAACGAAACAGTCACCTAGTCTATTTTTGTATGAAAAAAATTTCAACATCATTATTATGTGATGATTGCAATTGTGTCGCAAGTAATATTTAGTCCATTATTTGTTTGTTTGAGATTATTGTACTGAATCATTGCTAGTGCAATAGAAACTGAATCATTGCTATTTATTTGAAGGTTAGTATCCTAAGATGTCTTTTAGACTTTTATGGGATGAGTTAGGGTGGCAACTAAAATTTTAGTAGCCACCATGGCTACATCACTATCTGCCGTTCATTTTTCTTGTTTTCCTCTTTTTTTAATCTCATTGTTAATTTTGTTTTAGGGTAATTTTGGAATTAAAAAAGAGTCCACACCTGATTATTCTATATATGCTACTCAAACCCTAATCTACCATCCCTCCATACCAACCCTAGACGACGGCATCACCCCTCCACCCACCGCCGCCCACCTCCACCCGCCCTCATCCCCTCCCCCCACCTCCGCCCACCTTCCCTCCCCCCACCTCCCCCCACCTCCGCCCGCCCTCCCCTCTCTTCCACTCTCTCCCCCCACCATCCGCCCGCCTCCTCCGATCCCTCCCTCACTCCCTCTCCAATTTTGGTTGTTCTTGTGCATTTCCGGCGGACAAACAAGCCAAGTCCGGCGTCGCCCCTCCTCCCCCCTGCACACCGTCTGGAGGCGCGTGATGGCGGTGCCACAGTCGACGATGACGCCGCCGTTCCCGGCCTCGTCGAGCTCGAAGATCGAGGCCGGAATCGAGAGCAGCTCCCCGCCGACGCTCATCCCGCTCAGGGCGACGTAGTAGAACGTATCGACCTTCCTGCTCTTCATCAGATTCGCCGTCACGGAGTCGGCGGGGAAGGCGGAATTGAAGTCTAGGGTTGAGGAATAGGTGGAATCGCGGTTGACGAGGCAGTAGGAGAACGAGGAGGAATGGTATGTTTTTTTTTAATGGTAGTCATTTTTTTTCAGTAGTCATTTTTTTTTAAATGGTAGTCATTTTTTTCATAGTGGTAGTGTTATTGTCGTATTGGTATAGTTTTTTTCGCATTGGTATTATTTTTGTCGCATTGGTATTGATTTTTTTCGCATTGGTATTGATTTTGTTACATTGGTATTGATTTTGTTGCATTGGTAGTGATTAAATCTGCAATGGTATTGATGTTTTGTGAAATGGTAGTGTTTTTATTTCTTGAATGGTATTGATGTTTTGTGAAATGGTAGTGTTTTTATTTCTTGAATGGTAGTTTTCGTGTAATGGTATAAATTTATTTCTGCAATGGTTGTTTTCGTGTAATGGTAGTGTTTGTCTAATGGATTGGTACTGATTTCGTTTTTTTTTTTTTTTTTTTTTGCAGAAAGATTGAGAAAAATATGGAAAGGAAATCTGGCGGGAGATTACGGAAGTGAGAGAAAGAGAGATTTTTAATTAATAGATTTTTGTAACTACCTTAAATGTAATTTATTAAAAAATTAATTAATATAATTTATTTTTCCATACCCAATTTACCCTTAGTAACCACGGTGATTACTACTTTGTAGTAATCACCGTAACCTGTCCCAGACTTTTATTATTGGACCATAAATTTCACGAGTTTGATCTGGATTGCACACCTCTAATAACGAATAAATTTATGTTGTCGGTAATAACAAACATTACTCACACTACTTATAATAGAAGAATATTTATGTGAATTTGTATTGTCTTTGGAAATATTTAGGAAAAACATAATGCACACACGGCTAAAACCAATAGCCACTCTGAAAAAAATGGTAAAGTCTAAACTCTAAACAATGACACCTTAAAACCATAAACCAAATGGTAAAGTCTAAACTCTAAACAATGACACCTTAAAACCATAAACCAAATTAACATTATACAGTACATGAACAATGCAATTTATTATACAGTGGCCCATCTAACTAGGCTTGGCAGGCCGGGGCCCAAAAGCGGGTATCCGCCCGAAGCCCGCCCGATAAGGGCCTTGAATGGTTGATTTTTTGGGCCCGTCAACGGGTGGCGGTTAACCCGTTATCCGTCAACCGTGGGTTTCGGGCGGTGGTGGTTCGTCCAGTATCCGCCCCGCGACCCGACCGACGGGTTACCCGTGCTGAATACGACGGCGTTTGGAAGGAAGTATATATTCTC